GATAGAGTAATCTGGGATGTAGGTCCTTGCCTTTCATTACTTGGAATACTTCTTTCTAGCCTGTTTTTGCCTGCAAGGTCTCTTTTGAGAAATCAGCTGACTGATGGGAACTCCTTTGTAGGTGACTGTCCCCTCATCTCTTGCTGCTTCTAGGATTCTCTCCTTCATTTTTACCTTGGCTAATGTAATTATGATGTGCCTTGGTGTGTTCCTCCTTGGGTCCGACTTCTTTAGGACTCTCTGAGCTTCCTGGACGTCCTGGAAGCCTATTTCCTTTGCTAGATTGGGGAAGTTCTCCTTTATTATTTGTTCAAATAACTTTTCTACTTGTTGCTCTTCCTCTTCCCCTTCTGATACCCCTATAATTTGGATGTTAGAACATTTAAAGGTGTCCTGGAGGTTCCTAAGCCTCTTCTCAGTTTTTTGAATTCTTATTTCTCCATTCTTTTCTGATTGGATGTTTCTTTCTTCCTTCTGGTCCACTCCATTGATTTGAATCCCCGTTTTCTTCCCATCACTATTGGTTCCCTGTGCATTTTTCTTCATTTCACTTATTGTAGCCTTCATTTTATCATCTAATTTGTGACCAAATTCAACCAATTCTATGAGCATCCTGATCACCAATGCTTTGAACTATGCATCTGATAGGTTGGCTATCTCTTGGTCGCTTAGTTGTATTTGCTCTGGAGCTTTGATCTGTTCTTCCATTCCGGCCATTTTTTTTTCATTGTTGTCTTGTTGTGCCTGTTATGTGTGAGGGGCAGAGCCTTAGGTGTTCACCAGGGTGGGGCAACCCCATTGCTGGGTTGTGATGCTGTATGTGGGGGTGGGGTCCGAGAGGGAACAATGGCGCTTGCTCCTCTCTCCATCAGATTTCAGTCCTTTCCATCACTTCCCCCAAAGTAACTGGGCCTTTCTGGTGCTAATTCCCATGTTGGTGGGCTTGTGCATGTTCTAGGACCCCGTGGGTCTCTCCAACACACTCTCCTATGAGGCTGGGAGTCTCTCCTGGCTTCTCAATCCCCACAGGTGTTTTCAATCAGTGTCCCGAGGTTCTATTTCCCGGCGCTGGAACCCTGGGTTGCAGGGTCTGTCTCACTGCCCAATTTTGCCTGATTTATCTGCATGCGAACGTGGGACTGCCTGGACAGCCAGCTGCCTTGCGTGCAGTGCCTTGCTTCACAATTGCCGCCTGGCTGGGTCTGCCAGCCACCTGCGTACCCAGGGTCCGCCCACTGCAGTCTTGCACCCGAGATGCCTTATGCGCCCGGTGCCATCACTTTTTGTGCCACGACCCCTCTCCGCCCAGCTGCCCAACTCCACCCTTCCTACCAGTCTGGATGAATGTGTATATTTTAACTCCTTGGTTGTCCAACTTCCATACAGTTCAATTTTCTATCAGATCTTGTTGTTATCTTGTTTCTAAATTGTTGCTGACTTTATTTTGGTTGTGCAAGGAGGCACAGTGTGTCTACCTATTGCCTCCATCTTGGCCGGAAGTCCTTTCTACCTTTAAAATAAAGGAAAAAATAAACAAGTGGGACTATGTCAAATTAAAAAGCTTCTGCACAGGTAGAAAAAAACATCATCAAAATGAAAAGGGAACTGACTGTATGGGAGAACATATTTGCCAATGATACATCAGACAAGTGTTTAATCTCCAAATATATAAAGACCTCATATGACTCAACACCAGGAAGACAAACACTCCAATTTAAAAAATGGGCAAAGGGCCTGAACAGACACTTCTTCGAGAAGGACATACAGATGGCCCATAGACATATGAAAGGATGCTCAGCATCACCAACAATCAGAGAGATGCAAATTAAAACCACAATGAGATATCACCTCACACCTGTCAGAAGGGCCATTATTAATAAATCAACAAACTACAAGTGCTGGTGAGAATGTGGAGAAAAGGGAACCCTACTACATTGTTGGTGGGAATGCAGACTGGTGCAGCCACTGTGGAAAACAGTATGGAATTTCCTCAAAAAACTAAAAATGGACTGATGCAGACCCTGTCCAGTGGGGTCTGTATGTTATGGATGAGACGAACAAATTCACATGGACTATAGAAGTCTTGTGGAGAAAAGGGATGGCATGGCCACTCTCTGAGATGGAGAGCTCCCCAACCCTTGCCTGGATAGGCTTTTATTGCTTTTCTGGGAGCATTACCTCAAGGAAGGTCTTCAATCACCATTGTCAGGCAGTAATGATCAAACAATAGATAACATTCAAAGAACTGTGAGGGCTTATTCTGAGTCAGGGTCAGTTAGGTAAAGGGCCATACAACTTTGGGAAACAAACTTGTTTCATGCTTGGACCCTTATCAGAAAATTGAGGGCATTCTTAGCAAAGCAGGTGTCCCAGGATTTTATGCATTCTTTGTTAGGCATGATCACCCAGGGAACTGCCTGTTCCTGCCCAGGGATGCACCACCCTCTGTCATTGTTTTAGGTTTAAGTCAGGCGAGGGAAGTAAGGCAGCCAAGAGATTAGGAGACTTCTTGCAGACAGACTGAGGACTCAGGCTATGTCAAAGCTGAGGGGCAAGGGTCCTTCACCCCCTTTTTCTATAGTCCCCCAAGTCCTTCCATGGGGCTCCTTCATGACCATGCCTGTCATCCCTCCCTTGAGGAATCTTACCTGTCATTGGCTAACCAGTGATCTGCCTGGGGCTAAGTAGGGTGAAGTAAAGAGGGCAGAGGCAGCACCCCTGCCAGGAAGATAAGCTTTGTCTCCTTAGTGGCTTCTGGTCCCAAGGTCTCTTTACTCAGCCTTAGCCATTGGGGGGGGGGGTGGGTTACAGCCTCTGAAACCAGGCAGGGTGGTTCCCAACAATGGACCTGCCTTTTGACCCAGCGATTCCACTCCTAGGAATATCACCCTAAGAATCCTGAAACACCAAGTGAAAAGAACCTGTGCACCCCTATGTTCATAGCAGCACTATTATAATAGCTAAGTGTTGGAAACAGCTTAAGTGCCCATCAGTACATGAATGGATTAAAAAACTGATGCATTTACAAAATGGAACACTATACAGCACAAAGAAAGAAGAAGGAATTCCTACCCTTTGAGACAGTATGGAAGGAACTGGAGACTATTATGCTAAGTAAAATAAGCTAGTCAGCAAAAGACAGATACCATATGATCTCACTTATAAGAAGACTTTAATAAACAAAATAATGAGAAAAACAGAACCAGAGACATGGAAACAGGGAACAGATGGACAGCCCCCAGAGGAAAAGGGGAACAAGGGGAATGGTGGAAAGAAGGGGAAGGGATTAGTCAAAGAACATGTATGAATGACCCATGGACATGGACAATGGTGTGGGGATGGACCGTGGGAGTAGGGGGTGGGCTGGACGAAGGAAGGCAAAGGGGAAAAATTGGGACAACTGTAATGGAATAAACAAGAATAAAAAATTGTTTTTTTGTCTCTATAATTACTCCTTCTGTAATGTCTTTTTATTATCTTAATATGGTTCTGTTCAAATGTTGTACAAGGCTCTATGTAAGTCAAATAACATATCCCCTACAAAGTTAAGCATTGTAAATAATATTTTTTAAAATTTTTATTTATTTATTTTTAGGGAAAGGGGAAGGGAGGGAAAAAGAGAGGGAAACAACCACTGATGTGTGGCTGCTCCTCACATGCTCCCCCCATCAGGGACCCGGCTCACAACCCAGGCATGTGCCCTGACTGGGAATCAAACTGATAACCCTGTAGTTTTCAGGCCAACACTGAATCCGCTGAGCCATACCAACCAGGACTGCAAATAGTGTTTTTAAGATCCTCTCAGGTGGGATGTTATTACTTAGAATATAACAATTCCAAACCCTTCATAATGACTGTGCTTTGTTGCACTTTAAAAGCATTTGCTGTGGAACAGTTGAGGAATTAAGTGTTTGTATGTTAAATGCCTGCCCCTGATAATTGTCTCTAGGGAGATATTAGCTTGGTTTAGTTTAAGCTCAATCTAAAGAGAAAATAATTTACCATATTAATTTTCAATAAGATCTTATTAAGATGGATATCCAGAATTGAGTTTGATTTGCTTCTGCACCTAGATAAGAGTGATTTGTGTGTCAAAATTAAGCATATTGGCAGATCATTGCCTCTAAGTTTGTCTGTAGGTAAAGTTGAAGTAAACTTCCATTTTTCACTTGAAGTTTTTTTTTAACAACATTTATTTCTTCTTCCAGTTATTTTATTTTATTGACTGTTAATTTATCAACTCCTCTTGAAAAAAAGGTGAGAGGGAAAAAAGGCCATAGTGTTATCACATTTATATATGTGGGTTCCCTAAACCATATGGTGGTTTTTAATTAGAATACAAAAGACTCTTTGACAAGACTAACTTCACAGTGGCTGCAGTGGTGGGCATCACAGATGGAGAGAGTTTTCTCAAATTTTCGACCAGGACACTCTTGAGAGGAACTCTGTGGTTTATAATTGTCCTTCTGCTCGAAGTCTGATAAAATTATTGATGTGCAGATCAAGTTGGTATTTCGAAGCTGCTAATTTAATTCTGGACGCTTGATCTTCTCAGTCAGTGGCTTGACTTGATTTTTTAAAAAAGCAGCTTCAATATTTAATTTCACGTGTAGCCTCTCAGTAGAGATTTCAAAGGACACTTTGCTGGATGCTTGACTGCCTTGTGTATTTGCTCTTGTTTTGCATGCAAGAGAGAGCCAGAAGCCTTTCTTCTCATTGTGTACACATAGTATTAATGGATTTACTCTGACTGTATCGTCTCATTACTGGAAACAGCCAGAAGCACAGAAGTCTTTCAGTGTATGCAAATAAGGCAGAATCATCTACCTGAGAGTTAATATTCTCTGCTTTTAAGTGTATTCTAAATCTAATGTTTGTATTTAGAGCATAACATCCTGTTCTCCTTTTTTATGGGCAAAAAGCTAAGCAGGCTCCGGCAGCTGTTTGATGTTGGCTTCAAGTGTTATTAATTTCATATTCTATTATTCTTTTCACTGTAGCACAAGTGAAGCTGATGTGGAGGCTGTCATGGATAAGTTGTTTGATGAGCTGGCTCAGAAACAAAATGATTGTACGTAAGTTAATTTCTCTTGAAAGAGAATACATTTAGAACACAATGCCCAATCTCCACTGACCAATTAATAAGTTCCATTGCTGTATATGGGTTGATGCCACGCTCAAGTGGCAGTCATTGTATCAGCATTTTGTCTAATTTATGTGTTGAATCATGTGCTATTATTCATCAAGCTATGCATTTCCTATCTGTAAGAGATGAATTTTATAGTAATTATCCAGACAAGATTGAGTCTTTGTTCATGTTCCCATAGTAACTAGACCAAGGATTCTAAAAGTGCAAGGCAGAGAGCTGTGGCTGAATAAAGCCTGTGGAACCGTGGCCGACTGCACGTTTGAAGAGCTGTGTGAGAGAGTAAGTAACCAGACACGTCCAGACTCATTGGCCTTTTCACATGTTAAAACACTTCATATTTTCCTCTCTGCTTGTTTCAGATTTTAAAATACTGTTCACAGAGTCGGAACTGATTTAAAAGTCTCATTAAGGGAAATACTTATCTGTATATGCCATGTGCTTTTCATAGGTATTGGCACAAAATTTGCACTTGGACTCTAAAACAAAAATTAGAAATATAGAGAGAACTGTCAACTGCTGCTGGAAACAAAACTAAAATCAGTATTAGGAATATTTTATAAAAGTGAAACATAAGATGATTATTATTTTTTAATTGAGGTGAGGTTAGTATGCAGGGAGAGGAAGTCAAAGTCATATTACCATGATCCAAGGAAGTATGACAAAAGCATTTTTGGTCCTCATTCTTATTACCCATCTATTATCGCTGTATTATATGGCCTGTTTGTGCCAGTGTCAAAGAAAGTGGATATTTATAACCGTGATATCTGTGTTATATAATGATATGTTCAACAGAGAAAAATGTATATATACACACATTCATATAAATGAGAAAGACCTTGATTGCAGATTCATTATAGATATGAATTCTGTCTTTTAAAAACTCTGAAATTCTCAGTACTTGATGGATATTCAATATATTTATTGACTGTAAATCTTGAGAAAAGTAAATCCAAATTCCACATGCCTTTAAGCATAATAACTCAATTGTTTTGTATAAATTATCATTCTAGCTAATCTCTGATTTGCCTTGACTTTTAGGTAACTAAAAAAACAACTGCTTTTCAGTAAGGTGAAGAAAAAGTCTTCGTTGATACCTGCCATCCATTTTATGACTACTTCTCTTAAAAGCTAGCTAGTGACTTAATTACTTCTAACCAATGTACATTTGTCATTTTTAAACAAGTGAGATGAATCCAATTTACAATTGTTATTATAGAAATAAAGTACTTCAAAACCAGTAAGGTTTAGGATCATCTGGCAGGGCAATAATGTCAGTCTCTCAGTGAAAGTCGTTCTGGCTGATACAGACCCTTCACACTTCTACTGGATCAGTCTTTTTTTTTTTTTTTAAAGATTTAATTTATTTTTAGAGACAGGGGAAGGGAGGAAGAAAGAGGGAGAAAAACATCAGTGTGTGGTTGCCTCTCATACGCCCCACACTAGGGACCTGGCCCACAACCCAGGCATGTGCCCTGACTGGGAATCGAACCAGCGACCCTGTGGTTTGCAGGCCAGTGCTCAATCCACTGAACCACACTAGCCAGGTCTGTTGGGTCAGTCTTATCAAGGTCATAGAAACCCATTATCTCCAGACAAAATTTTATTAATGCTTGCATTTAAGTTTTACATACTTTGCCAGAGAAATAAACTTGAGGAAAATATTGTGTGTCCAAAAGCTAAAGCTCCTCCTCCTTTCACAAAAGGGTCCTGGTGAAGAGGTGGGAAGGACAGACCCATTGTATCTTGGAGTGGTAAGGTAAAGACAGTCTCTTGGAGCACACACTGAGTACAGTGTTTATCTGTGTTTTTAATGTGCTCATGACTTCAGGAGACTTAGAACCAGGAAAAGTCTGCTCAGCAGGGACCAAAATTTTCAGTCTGTGGTTTGGAGGCAGTGGGAAAGAAGATTAATTGGGACTTTATCTTGAAAAATAAAAATAACACATAAAAGTAAGTCATTTTTATCTTGATAAAAATGTAGATTATAATAGCACTATGAAATAAATTCCTTAGAATAGCAGTGAACAAATTACTGTTTGTTTATTTTTTAAAAATTTTATTGATTGATGTTTTTTGAAAGAAAAAAGAGAGAAACATCAATTTGTTGTTCCACTTATTTATGCATTCATTGGTTACTTCTCATAAGTTTCCTGACTGCGGATTGAACCCACAACCTTGATATATCAAGACAGGGGCCAAATTACTATTTATTTTGGCATAACCTTCTTGACAAAGTTTTAAGTTGATAAATTAGTATATCTTGCACTTCATGATTTGGTTGTTCAATTAAATAGAAAATCATTTTTACAAAAACCTTTAAGGGTTTTCTGAGTTTTTTCAAAACCTTTTAATTTGTGAATATTTCAATTAGTTTCTTTTAAAGTTTTGTTGATTTCTTTTCTTGATCAAGCTGGCAGGATCTTCATTGGTCAGTGGCCTTGCATGGGTAGGTTTGCTTTTTGTCTGCATTGTAACTGTGTGACGTTCGCTGCGTCAGACAAGCACTGCGTGGCTGCTGAAAGATACCGACCTGATGGTGGGGCTTAGGTGCTAGCGTTAGGCTATGAGGGATGTTTGAGGACAGGCTACTTTTAAGGGTCAGTTCATTTGCAACTATTTTCTTGTTATGATAATTTTATATTTCTTTGTAACTTTATAACTGTGGCAGTGCAGATTTGAAAACTTACATGAAGAAGACTCTTGAAATCATTCAGCTTCAGATGTAACCTAACCTCTTAATTAGTTGTAATGATTTTAAGAACCACGCTAAGTAGTTGCCAAAAACCGTTCAGTAAAGGAAAAAAAAAAACATGTTTAACCTGAGGTAGAGAAACTGGCATGTCTGTGACAGTCCCAGCTTTGGATCATGTGTCCTAGCTCTGGGAGGCTCGTGAAGCCCCAGGCTCATCCAATCCCAGCTCCAGACACCAGCATGAAGAAGAGTTTTGGCGAGGTATGGATGGGTTAATAGTCTGTAATGATTATTTTTTCACCAGGGCCCCTCCCAAGGAAAAATAATATATATATATATATATATATATATATATATATACACATTAGGTAGAAACTAATCTGTTTGTGTCTTGTTAGGGAAAAGAAGGTTCTGAGTATAAACCCCTGATATATGCCGTAAGTGCACTAAAAAGTCCCAGGATGTTCCTTTCCTCGCACACCTCTCTCCCCTGCCTCCTTTAAGCGTGTCACCTCAGATGTGGAGCCGGGTGGGTTAACATGCAGCCTTTTGGTGTTGCTGGGCTTCTCTTTCTTTGCAAATTTGCAGTTTCACACTGTTGGGCTCGGAGAAGCAGTCCCAGTCAGGAGGCCCTGTACCCCCGGGATAATACTTGCCAGGCATCATTCTAAGCACTTTTTACTATATTAACTCATGTTATACTTAAAATAGGTAGACACTATTATTGTCCCCATTTCATAGGTAGACAAACTGAGGTACAGAGATGGATCTTCAGTCACTTGCCCAAGGTCACACAGCTAATAAGTGGCAGAGCCAAGGTTTTGAACTTCTTGGTAGTCTGGGGAATAAGACTGTGCTTTTAATCACTACACTGTATCTGAAAATGTTCTGGACAAGTTACTGCAAATTACATTAATTATATCAAATTACATTAATATAATTCTGGTTCTACCATGAAATACAATCAGATACTTTGTGAATTCTCACTTTGATCCTTTCATGGAGCATGAGGCTGAGTATGGGGTAGAGATTCAGTCTGAGAGCCCCAGGTGTACTGAGAACCTTAGTACAGAACTGTCCAACTCATGTGCCTCAGCAAACCCATGGGAATGGGCACAGCTACTGACCCCTCCAACCTCCTAAGGGCTTTGTAGTGCCTCTACATCCAGGCTGGGGACATGAAGCCTTAGGCAGCCTCATTCCTTTACTCCTTGATAAAAATGTTACCATTTTCGCTCCCTGCCATGATGTGGAAAAGGTTGGGAAGCCCTGTTTTAAACTGTGGACAATAAGGGAGAGTATGTCTGGGTGGTCCTAGTTCCCTGTCACTCCTTCTGTGTCAGAGCGGTGGTAGAAGGGAAGTGAAGCAGACTCATCTCTGTGGACATGACATGAGCTTCTAGGTTTCCATGCTATACCTCAACATGGTTACTTGGCACAGCTGGAGGGTAGTGGAGACGTCAGAAATACAGTTGTTTAACTAAGTGGTTCTCACGAGTCCTTGAGGCCAAAATTCTCTGTAATAATACTAGGTTACTTTTGCCTTTTTCACTATGGTGACATTTGCGATAATGGTACAAAAGCAATGGTGGGTTAAATTGCTGGAGCCTTAGCAGAATCAAGGCAGCAGCACTAAGCCACCCTGTGTTCTTCATTGCCCATGAAATCAGTGTAAATAAAAAAAATCTGGTTTCATTTAACAATGTCTTTGAAGAAGCAATAAAAATGGTTAACTTTGTTAAATAGCAAAGAGAAAGTATCTTCTTAATATTCTTCATGAGGGAAGTACACATAAGGCACTTCTGCTGTGTAGCGAGTACAGTCATAGTCCTGAGGAAAGCGCCTGTGCAATTGTTTGAGTTGCTAGCTGAACTAGCCACTTTTTTCGTGCAATGCCATTTTCAACCAAAAGAATGAGGAACAAACTATGGCTTCTCAGGCTTGGCAGATATTTCCTTGCAATGTTTGACAGACATTTTCTTGCAAATGAAGTAAAACTGTTACTTTAAGAAAAACCACTAAGAGTAGTTGCTGCCAGTGATAACATTTGAGCAAACAAGTGAAAATTAGAATTTGGAACACTTGTTGCCACCACCATGAACTTGACAGTTTTCCAATTTTTGTGCATTTTCTTCTCATAAGATTGATGGTGATATTAACAAATGCAACATTTTGACATTGTATAATTAAACATGTCAGCATGTAGAAGATCTACATAACTCATTGAACCAATATTTTCTTGCAACCATTGCAAAATCATACAGGACAAAACATTCATTTAAAGTGCAAGAAAGTCTAATAGAGTTTTAATATAACAGAATTTTAAAAATACACTGATATTACTGCAGATTCTACTTTGCAACTTAACATTTTATAAACAACTTCTTGTCAGGTTTTAAGAATTTTTAAAATAGACTATTTTTTAGAACAGTTTTAGTTTTACAGGAAAATTGAAGAAAATAGTACAGAGAATTTACATATGCTCCCTAATGCAGCTTCTTATTAATGACATGTTACATTAGTGTGGTGCATTTGTTACAATGAATGATCCAATATTGATATATTGTTATTAACTTAAGTCCTTATT